AAAGTTCAAGGGGGCCGAATACTTTTGCAAGCCACTGTATATTCTTGCATTACTTGTACTACCGTGGCTCATCAGCTTTAAATAAAAGTGACTAGAAATGTGTGCTAAAATGAAATTTAGCTACAATCAAATACTTTCTTCATCCTATAGGTGGGCATTGCAGCCTGTCAGTTGTCCCGTGCTCTGGGTCTTCAGGTTTTTGGGACAGCAGGGACACCAGAGGGGATGAAGTTGGTCCTTAACAATGGAGCTCACCTGGCCTTTAATCACAGACAAGAAGAATACACAGACAAAATCACGGTATTCACTCACATAGAAGTCAAGTGGCAGGAAAAACTCGTTCTGACCTTCTGAAAAATGCTCTGTGTGTTTATGTATTCCAGGAAGCCACAAAGGGCCGAGGTGTAGATGTGATAGTGGAGATGCTGTCAAATGTCAACCTCAGTAAGGACCTCCAGATGCTGGCCTATGGAGGGCGAGTGATGGTAGGACTACAGTTTTTCTTTTTTTTATAGTATAGTCGTGGGATCTTTTACTGGTTTATCAGTTTACTACTCCTCAGAAATGTGTTGTTAACAATCCAGCTGTGGTGGACTAATAATAATTATAGTACAATATTAAAAACAGGACAGCTATAAGGAAACACTCACTTCACTCCACACAGGGAGTAGTCAGCTGTTGTTGACATATCAGGGTGTGATAAATACATCAGAGGGTTCCCCAGGCTGAAATGTCCTCTAGCAACAATCAACTACAAAGCAAGAGGTGAGAAGCAAATAACGGACAAAGCAGCAAAAGTATCAATGACGTGGTGTGCAGCAGTAACAGGAGGTTGTCTGTCATTCCCAGCTAGCTCCAAACTCAAACAATGCAGCTCTTTATAAAATGTATTTAGCTCTTCTTTAGCTCAGCTTTGTTAGAAAATTTTAAAAACACCCAGTTGTTCTGTGTATTCTGACAGACCTGTTGTGGCATAAAAGCATAGCGAACTAGTTAACTGTAGGACATAACAACAGGTGTAGCAGGGGAACAGTGATGAAAATGCGTAGTAGTATTTCTAATGTTATATTGTCAGGTTTGGAACAGTACATCATTGTGCTGGGATTCATATCTACCAGAAATGTTCTGATATACAGTTATATACAGTAGTTTACAAACACTCATTAATCATACCTCTACTTTGCTCTTTTTCTTTAGGTTGTTGGCTCCAGAGGATCTATAGAGATCAATCCCAGAGACACCATGATTAAAGAGAGCAGCATAGTGGGAGTGGCCCTTTTCTTTGCAACACCGGTACAAAACAACAGCATCACAAAATTTGTCAGTTATCTAATTTTTTTTTAAATTTCATTTTAAAATTTTGTTTTTAATTCAGTTAAGACTATTTTCCAGAGTAGGTTTGATTGTTATTATTTGAAAATGTTTAGTTTGTTAAGGTTAGTGTTCCATGCTATTATTGTTATTATTTTTTATTTTATTTAGTTTTCCAAGTAAGCAAAATCATGCACATTGGTAATGCTACTGCCAAAACCTTTGGCTATGACTCCATACATGATACATGATAAATATGTACAGAATTCTTATTCCGTGCCCCACTTGGTGATTTGGACATCTTTCTTCTCCCCCTGCTCCTCTCAGGAGGAGTTGAAGGAGTGTGGAGCTCTACTGTATGCAGGGATGGAAGCTGGTTGGTTGCGTCCGGTCGTTGGTTCCCAGTATCCGCTTGAAAAAGCTGCCCAGGCCCACCATGATATCATTGAGTCTCCCGGGGCTGCTGGGAAGATGGTCCTGACTATGTGACGACCATGTAATGGGTCACAGGTCACCTTTACACTTTTTACAGTTCAGGCTGTTTTTAAATGGGTGATACTTTAATAAAAATTTTCAGGAACAGTTAATGTTGTTGTTTGTTGCTTCTATGGCAAAAATCAGTTTGCTAGATCACAGAAAAAATTGCAGAAAATCCTTAGGCTGGATTTGTTTTTACTGTACCATCATGGTGCGATTTACCAATTGGATGAAACCTTACTGTAGTGAAGTTATTTCTTTAGTTCGTGTTAATATACTTTTGTATTTCTAAAGCTGAATTTAATAGTTTTTTTTCCAGAATGATCAGAGTGTTTTTGCAGATCTCTTCATAAGGTCTGTTGTCACTGATTTTAGGTTTAGTTCTTGTGTAATTTGGCATATCTCACTCTTTTCTTCTTGTTACCCTTCCTTAAGAAGGGCATCTTGACAGCCAGCCTTCGCCTGAGAGCATTTGTGATGAGGCTTCATTAAACAGTAGATGAATAAACTGAAGGACTCCATGCATATATCATGTCCTGTGTCACGTCTATTCTGGTGTCGTTCACCCTTTTACTTAAGGACATGACTGCTCATCTGCTGTAGATAGTTGTTTTTTTTTTAAGCCTCCCACTTTTCTTTTGTCCTTCACTTGTTCAGTTTCTTCACATTGTTTTAAGAACACACTACACACTGTGTCAAAATATGGCAGGTTTTGTCATCTACGGTTCATAACATCATCATAAGATAGACAGAAAATCTGGAGAAATCTCTGTGTGCAAGGGATAAGGCCAAAAATAAGTATTGTATATCTGTAATGTTTGGGCCCCTTGGTAAAATTACATGAAAAGCATGCATGATTCTGTCCTACCCTCAGGAACACTTCCTGAAATCATTGTCTGTGAACACAGTTCACCGTGCCTTCCACAAATGCAGATTAAAGCTCTGTTGTGCAAAAAGAAGCCATCCACCAAAAAAGCCACTGCCTTCTCTGGATTTAAAATAGCCTGTGACAAAGTGGAAAACACTTCTTTTTTAAGCCCTCAGTTCAAAAGCCTGAATCTCTAATGCCTACAGAACCGACAGCTTGCTCAACTGGAAAGGCACCTTCAGTGCTGGAAGGTATAAGCATGTTGATGGGTTTGTCTAGCATAAACCTATTTGCTGGAACGTTCAAGACAATTCTACTACACAGCAAAGCAAGACACAAGTTGCCAAAGTTCTTTATGTTACTCGTGCATGAGGGAGAGAACTGGACGAGCGCCGTTCCTTCACTTGACCCCAGTTGCTCTCGTCTGCTCCCTCGTAACACTGCTCTTTATTGAGGTTACATGAATATGCGTAGGTTCATTACCATATGACATCTTACATCTTACATTTGTTTACATACATGTAAACAAAGAGTACCAGTCTGTGCATAGTGTAGGTGTGTTTGCCTGGAAGTCCAGCAGTTCATCTACACAAAAGGGACTTATACTAAAACAGATATAGAGTAGGTTTCCTATAGTATAAATCAGTAAGAGAAGGTATGACCTCTCTCATGACCTTAAGATGTGTGTGCATGCCAGAGTGCTCTGGAAGGCACACAGAGTCTTTGCAGACTGCTAAGGATCAGACATCCTGTAATTATGACCAACACCAACATATGCATGCAGATGACATCTTTTTAATGTAAATAAACGAGATCAGCTGCATCTATTCCAATAGCACGGCTTTGTAGTAGGATCCGGTGCTGAACTAGTCTGCCTACAGTTTGGATCTTTCACCAGTTCAAAACATTCTATTTCTCATGAATGTAAAATATGGCAAATATTATATGGCAGACTCAGCACTTGAATCCAATATCAAACAAGAATGGGACAACAGTCCTCTCCCAGCAGCTGGTGTCTTCAGCTCCCAGATGTTTACATACTCTTCCTGTCCAAACTATTTTAAAACATGTCATTGCCATCAAATTCAAAATCACCTTATTTTCTTTCTTAAAATAGCATGTTTTCTCAATTTAATTAGCCGATTGCTCATTTTGAAAAATGCACCATTTTTACCTCCTGGTAACTACTTTGTTTGCTGCTTAGCGACATTTAAAGAAAAAAAAATCTGTATTTTTACTGGCATCACTTCCTGACATCAGTGAATGTCCTCCAGCTTTAAGTTGGTCTTTAGTTCCTAAATGGAAATTAGAGCATCTTTAAATGCAGTATAATGTAGCATATACAGTGGGGCAAAAAAGTATTTAGTCAGCCACCGATTGTGCAAGTTCCCCCACCTAAAATGATGACAGAGGTCAGTAATTTGCACCAGAGGTACACTTCAACTGTGAGAGACAGAATGTGAAAAAAAAATCCATGAATCCACATGGTAGGATTTGTAAAGAATTTATTCGTAAATCAGGGTGGAAAATAAGTATTTGGTCACCTCAAACAAGGAAAATCTCTGGCTCTCACAGACCTGTAACGTCTTCTGTAAGAAGCTTTTCTGTCCCCCACTCGTTACCTGTATGAATGGCACCTGTTTGAACTCATCATCTGTATAAAAGACACCTGTCCACAGCCTCAAACAGTCAGACTCCAAACTCCGCCATGGCCAAGACCAAAGAGCTTTCGAAGGACACCAGGAAAAGTATTGTAGACCTGCACCAGACTGGGAAGAGTGAATCTACAATAGGCAAGCAGCTTGGTGTGAAAAACCAACTGTGGGAGCAATCATCAGAAAATGGAAGACATACAAGACCACTGATAATCTCCCTCGATCTGGGGCTCGATCTCATCCCGTGGGGTCAAAATGATCATGAGAACGGTGAGCAAAGATCCCAGAACCACACGGGGGGACCTGGTGAATGACCTGCAGAGAGCTGGGACCAAAGTAACAAAGGTCACCATCAGTAACACACTACAACGGCAGGGAATCAAATCCCGCAGTGCCAGACGTGTTCCGCTGCTGAAGCCAGTGCATGTCCAGGCCCGTCTGAAGTTTGCCAGAGAGCACATGGATGATACAGCAGAGGATTGGGAGAATGTCATGTGGTCAGATGAAACCAAAGTAGAACTTTTTGGTATAAACTCAACTCGTCGTGTTTGGAGGAAGAAGAATACTGAGTTGCATCCCAAGAACACCATACCTACTGTGAAGCATGGGGGTGGAAACATCATGCTATGGGGCTGTTTTTCTGCCAAGGGGACAGGACGACTGATCCGTGTTAAGGACAGAATGAATGGGGCCATGTATCGTGAGATTTTGAGCCAAAACCTCCTTCCATCAGTGAGAACTTTGAAGATGAAACGAGGCTGGGTCTTCCAACATGACAATGATCCAAAACACACCGCCCGGGCAACAAAGGAGTGGCTCCGTAAGAAGCATTTGAAAGTCCTGGAGTGGCCTAGCCAGTCTCCAGACCTCAACCCCATAGAAAATCTGTGGCGGGAGTTGAAAGTCCGTGTTGCTCGGCGACAGCCCCAAAACATCACTGCTCTCGAGAAGATCTGCATGGAGGAATGGGCCAAAATACCAGCTACTGTGTGTGCAAACCTGGTAAAGACCTATAGTAAACGTTTGACCTCTGTTATTGCCAACAAAGGTTATGTTACAAAGTATTGAGTTGTATTTTTGTTATTGACCAAATACTTATTTTCCACCCTGATTTACGAATAAATTCTTTACAAATCCTACCATGTGGATTCATGGATTTTTTTTTCACATTCTGTCTCTCACAGTTGAAGTGTACCTCTGGTGCAAATTACTGACCTCTGTCATCATTTTAAGTGGGGGAACTTGCACAATCGGTGACTGACTAAATACTTTTTTGCCCCACTGTAATAGCAGAGAGAACCAGAATCTCAAGACTGGCTTTGATTCAGATGTAGCAGTTACAATGTGCTGAGTCCTGCGTTGTGAAAGTGTGCTGATCATGGAGCTCTTATGCTTGCCATGGTCAAATTTGTGACATTAATTCGGGCAACCAACAGAAATGCAGAAAGACAGGAAGAAGGTGCATATAGTACAAATAAAGACCATAAGTGGCCACACACAAAAAATGGTTAAACATAAATAGAAAATCCTCACTTTGAAAGCAAATAGTAATTATTATGTAAAACAATGCATCTTTTCAGTTGCAGTCACTCTAGACATCAGTGATACGTATACTTAGAATTAAGATAAACAAAACAAACAACGAAAAAACTAAGACAAAGTTTAAGGCTCTGTTTCCAAGTCAGACATGACATCTGTTCCTCTCAGGTAACAGCCATCTCTACTGAGCATGCTTCAGAGACGGCCAGGTAACCTGAGCTAGACCCACTCATATACACGGTACGTGTTGCAGCACTACAGCAACCAGTAAATGATGGCTCTACAGCAGACAAGCACTACAGGTCATTCTGATGGATCATGTGAGTGGAGTGCACCATATCAGGAGCAGGGTTAAAACACTTGGTTAGGAACAGGTAAGGAACCTGCTAATGTTTTTAATGGATTTCTATGATGACGATCTGACAATGATCTTTTTTAAAATTAATATTTAGATGTTCAGATTAAGAAACCAAGCTGTAGTAGATGACACTGGAATAAAGGTGTACAATTTGGTATTTGGTAAATACCAAATTGTAATTGGGTCACTAATAAGCTCTGTTAAAAGCATATTTTTCAAATGTTGTAACTGTCTAGTGAGTTGCCGTGACGATGGTGGGTCAAACTTATCCAAGGAGTCAGTCAACTAATAAGATGGGAAAAGTTTGAACTGGACTGAAACCTAATATCCCATGGTTAACATGTGCGTACCCTGACCATTACACTATCATAAGGCCTGGCGTGCTTCAGTGAAAGTCTCACTAATGTAGTTCCCAGGCAAGTTCGTAGTTTCTTCCCAGCACTTCATTAACCAGTGCAGTTCATCAGGAAATCTAGGCTATATTACCAGCTGGTAATGCCATTTTCAACTTAAACCAGCATGAGGTTGGCTTTACCTCAGGAGGTAGAGCAAGTTAGGTACTAATTGTGACTTCCTAATAATGTACTAACTAATCCAAAGGTCAGTGGTTTGATCCCTGATTGTTTCAGTCTGCATGGTCAAATATCCTGGATAAGATACTAAACCCCAAATTGTGTTTGTTGAAGTGTG